TATGTAGCTTTTTTCTGTAATTTCTATTATATTATAATATATATTATATGATATTATATTATGAAAAAAAATTCCCAAAAATATAAATTATACATCAAATAAAAGCTTATTCTATAAGCTTTCTTTGTTTTTAGAAACAATTTTCTGTATAATTTACAGAAAGTTCCCAAAAATCCACCAGAACGACATATACTCAAAAAAAGCAAAAAACCTTGTTACACTGCAAAAGAATCCGGTATTCAAGGGTTTGCACTACAAAAGAATACGGTATCCAGAGGGTTAAAAGATTTTTGTAGTAAAATGTCTGTTGAACAGATTCATCCATTATTAAAATAAGCTTTTAAGTTAAAATTTAATTTTACTTTGACAGACAATATATCTTTAAAATGTTAATTTGTCCTTTTTGTGCCAAGTGCCACCACAATTTCATTATTTTATAATGATGTTTTCAGAGGTACCTAGTTACTAAGGCTTGAGAATACCTTGAACTTTGCGCGAAATATTGAATAAAAAATGTCTTTAATTTGAAGGAGACAAGTATTCGTTTTTTAGAAGACCAACAAAGACAGAACATTACGGACACAAAATAGACAAATTAGACTAATTTGTGGATATCACTCACCTTGTAAAAAAGTCGTCATGCGTTTCTCTTAATGGTGAATATATCTTTGTAGCATTTGCTGTAGAATTTTTACTTGTATGCATAGCATAAAATGCTGAACACGGCAAAGTGGGCGGGCGATCACAATGTAGTACTAAACTTCCACCGAGCGCCTGTGGGTTCGGGTATTCACATTGATTATGCCAGATACCGCTTGTTTCTAATCTACATAACGAAGTCTCAACCCTTTTTCCTACTTTGAATAGACCTTCCCATATTGTTCGGCCTCCCTTGTGCCATATTTCATGTAAGATGAACCGAACAGCCTCGCTTGTGTGCACAAGTTTAATGTTCACTGTCATTTCTCCGTTCCACCCGGCGAAAAAAACTATCTCATAAGTTCCATTTTTAAAGTCGATAACTTTTCCTGCAGTAGCAAATCTATTTTCATTCGAGACAACTGGGTACCAAAAGTCACCTCCCTGGACACGATGACGACCGTTTGCGTCGTGGGCTTCAACTATGACGCTAAAGAATTCACCGAATAATATTGGTTTTTCGTCTTTAATGAAGAATTTACTCATTGTTGGATCTGTGTGTCCCATCGAGCCAACTCCATCAGTTGTGTTTGCAAATACCGATAAAACTGCGTCTTGTCGGAGTTTCTCTTCCGTTTCCATAAATGTGGGGAACATATCGATCGTAGGTCTATCCTTTAAATCAGATTCAGTTTGCCAGGCATGATTTTGACTTGTCAACATATTATTTTTAGTTTTAAAAGTAATCTAAAAAGTAAAAAATAAAAAAGAACAAATGGATTATGATTTATATGTCAAATAAAATACGGTATCTAGAATGAAAATGTATTCGTTAAATTGAAAACCTTAGATCCTCGGTTCCCATATTACTTTTTTTTCGAACCAAAATCATAATTAACTATAAGCCTGGCGCCTCCATGGATGGCATCTCATTCCCAATTACTTACTCATGGACGTCGTCATAAGTCTATGTTTAAAAGAATATTTTTTGCTACCGTGGCCTACCATTAGGCCTATGTGGGAGCATTGGTATATTTTGAAGGCCTATGGGGACAGAGAACTTTCCAAAAGACAATCAAAAATGGGATGTAATTTCCGGAAAACCGGACAGTTAGGACACAGGAGTGATGCTCTAGTGAGGTCTACATACTAATGTGCAATTAAAAAAAAATATTTTTTAGAACTTTTTATTCAAAACTATTTATTTATTGAACATCCCCTGGCGATGATTATACTAAAGATATGACGCTCGACAATGAAACAAAACAATTAAATTTCGAAATTATGAAGACTATAACGCATAATCATTTGTTCAAGAATTACTTGAAAATAAAGTACTTTATGAAATAAATACTACTGCAAACGATATTATAGAATCTGTATGGATGAAATAGAAAGATTCCTTCCTAAACATAAGTAATAGAGATTCCTTCCTAGACATAAGAAAAGAGATACATGCAAAGAAACTATGAGATAAATAAAGAACAAAAGTATATTTACATGCGTATAGGAGATCGAGAAATAACGTAACTAGTAAATTAAGGAATTCAAAGACAGAATATTTCCCTAATATTGAACGAAATCACAAAAATTATTCAAAAAAATTATGGAATGAGATGAAGAAACTCACCGGTAAAAACATACACAAACATATTACTAATCCCAGGGAACAGTGAACTGTTCCCTGCTAATCCAAATATCAGGGAACAGTGAAATTGTAATTTCAATGTTCCCTGCAAATATCGACTGTAACGATTTGTAACCGAGTCAACTCAGGGAACAGTGAAATTACTGTTCCCTGGGTTTATCAATATGCGTTACTGTTGCCAGAAAAAGCAGCATTTTTTCATTAAAAAATATTACATTTTTTACTGTATACGGAAAACGCTATAATATAAAATATAATTCATGTAATTATAATATTACTATATACATGACTATTATAACAACATGTGTTGCCAGGTTTATTTCAAGTATGTTAAACTCAATATTATACTGCATTGCATGTAAATCAAACAATTTAACTTTCTGAAAACCAAACAACTTCAAACACCACTCTGGCAAAAGCAATCCATGATAAATCATGATCAAAATATGATTTTCAACTTAGGAAGACTCAATTTAATTGTTGAATTCACCATGAAAAGTTAATTGTGCCATATACAATTGGATGTTAAAGTTCAACTGTTTAGTGGAAAAGCATGTGGAGGTTGAAGAACATCTTCATCTGACTTGTCAACAGTTTAGTAGCCTACAGTATACTACTGCGTCTTGACATTTCTCTAGAAAATAGCTTTACATCTTTTGCTCAGATTTCGGTTGGTTTAGATAACTAACTCACTCGTCGTCCCTAGCTATGTATTCTCATGTCTTTCTCAACCTCTGACACTGACTGTTTAGAATTTCTTTTGAACATATTATTTTTGTTGTTTCTAAAAATCATGTGTTTTTTCTTGTTTTCTTTAAATGTGAAGATGCGTATTTAATAAGTGTTGAATATCTTTTCAGTAAACTTCTATCAGATTACTCTTCATATTCTTCATATTCACACCTATTTGTGACCCAAGACCACAAAAGGGCTGTAAACTCACCAGGTTTCGAGAAAAAGAGCCAAATAGACAGTATAACATGTAATTTGAGCAAAATGTGATTATATCATAAATATAAAGTATTACCTCTATTCTTACTATTTTTAAAGTTTGGGTTCAATATTTCAACTCTAAACCCTAAAATTTAGTAATTTTATGAAGGCCATTCTACGAGAAACGTTTACAAATTTACCAACTTTCAAACCGCCATACTTCGCTTCCAAACAACTTATTCACCTACATAAAATTCAGGCCCCCAACTAGATAAATGAAAACTATCGAATAATAATACGTTTATTAGTACTCGTATGCTATGTTTGTGATTTCAGAATAAATTTCAGACAGTATAGTTATAATATAGTAGAATGGTCACAGAGTTATTGATGTTAAGTCTAAAACGTATTCATGAAGTCATTCAAAATCGTGTACAAAATAGTTGAACAAACTTTAAATTTATGTTCCGAAAGTATTTGTAGTGCATCGTACTGTGGTACAAAGATTACCGGTAGGTAATTGTATACCTAAATCAGGGAACAGTTAAATTACAATTTCACTGTTACCTGCCTAAATGAAGGAAATAACCTTGAATTAATTCAAAGTATACTAAACTATTTCATGACCTGTTGGAAAAGATTTGGAAAGCTTTCTGGCAGTGAAGTGGATAAGAAGTGATGTAGATTGCGATTAAGTACATGTTAAGAAACTAGTTGTGGTTATTGAAACATTAAAAAAATATTGACGCCAGCAGAACAATTATCAGCACTATTTTCAGCGATGTGAAACTAAAACGTATTGATTTATGAAGTATATTCACAAAACGTCATTCAAGTCATGTAGAAAATAGTTAAACAGCTTTAAAGAACCAAACAAAAACGTGCGTGTCAACATTACCAGGGAACATTACAATTGCTTTAGAAATATATCTTCAAAAGTAATTTTCTAGAGCATAGCACCATTGTACGGACTATCTTTAGTACTAAATTATATAAAGTCACTTTATTGCATAAAAACAATACAGGAAACAAATCAAGAGCCCAGAACAGTGTCCCAAAACTGGGAGCACGCAAGGCTCAAACAAAAACATTAAGATACAAAATATACCAATATATAAAAGTATAAAAATAAAGAGAGGCCTATCATTCAAATTAAGGAAGATTGCACTCAATTAAATTGTCAGTTCAAAGAGAGGCGAATTAACTTAAGAGGGTTGATCTTTGGCATAGTATATAGTAAATGAGGAAACAATTGCAATTTTGGAGATACCGTCACGAAGTTGTTTAAATAATATTGAATTATTGCACAATTTGTGGATTTTCTTTAAAAGTTTAATATTATCAGGGGAAATGTACGGCTCAGGGAAAATAATAAACAAAAAAATTTCAACGGATTTTCCTGGATTTCCAAACTGTTCCTGCAATCAATATTAATCAACTGTTCCACAAACAGATTATATTGAATAATATCTTCCGAAAATATTCCAACAAGACAAGTATCGTCTGCGTAATTTTCATATAAAAACACTATGTATCTTTATCAACTTAAAAGTCTAAAGATAATTTAAATAAAAGAAAAATGCATGATCATTGATAGCGTATTACTTAAATATTTTACTTACCATTAGAAAAAAGATAGTAATAGCAGAAAACAGGAAAACAATCTGTTTCGATTTATGAAGACTCATACTACAATTCAAAAATTACCAACAACGATACCAAAAACAGTGAGCAAGGTTCTCTCATCGGTAGTACAGTGTCAATAATTAATCGAAGCTTTAACATCATGGGTGAATATAACATCACGTGACATTGGTGCTGCTCTTCAAGGGGGCGCTTTCTTTACAACAGGACGACTAGACTGGATTGCTATGAATATTCATTGCAAGAAGGTATTACCTCCTCGGGATATTAATCTTACAATTATTTAGATGAATGAATAATAAATGAGTTGACTCTTTGGTAGGCCTATCCGCGATGAGAATAATTAAACTGTAAAAATCCATTTAGATCCTTAGATGCGAACGACTCGATAGAGACCTAATGTCACAGAGAAAGATAGCAGAGGAGGTGTTTTATATTACTGAGAATGGTGCACAAATATCACTCTAATGCAAAGACAAAATTTTGCTCTATAAAGACCTATAGAATTGCTGCTCATCGGCCTTTGACCCTTTTACCTTCCACGTGAATTTGGACAAATTTGTATTGGTTTTGTGTATATATCCATCACAAAGAAAATTACGATGTAAATTCGAAAAATTTCCGAGTTAAAAGTTCGAAAATACATCCCACGATTCTGTTAAGTTGGTTATAGGGAATTTAAATGGATGTAATCTTAAGAAAGTACTTCCAACTGTTATCAATATGTGAATGTCATCACTAGAAAAGACACTGGATCTATGCTATGGGAATGTTAAAATGCGTACTCGTCCAAGGGAAAACCCGGAATCGGCAACTCGGACCAAAATTTGATTCATCTCATCCCAAAATATAAGTATTGCCTGAAGAGGGAAAAGTCTCAACAAGGACTATCAAAATGTGGAATGACTCAGATGTTGAAAACATGGTAGATTGTTTCAACTTTACTAATGTGGGATGAATTAATGAAGCGACTGATGCTATATCTCACTTTATTAAATTTTGTGAAGACACTATCGTTCCTACAATTAAGGTTAAGTCATGCTTCCTAAACAACAAGCCTTTCACTCACGAACTTAAAGCAATGATGAAAGAACGACGCCATGTTTTTAACAACAGAGATTTTATAAAAATAAAAGAAATCTAGCATATAGTATAAATTTGAGGATAAAGGATAACAAATATTATATTAAGATAATAAAAATTGAAAAGCACTTCAATGAAAATGACACAAAATCGGTTTGAAAAGGTCTCTCATTGGTGACCGGGATTGGCAAAAAGAAATATAATATTTAGTCTGACTCATCATGTGATTTACCAACTCTATGCAATGATCTTAACATTTTTTTTTCTCAAGATTCGACATTCATGATTTTAGTGAGGACTAAAAACAAGTTATATATTCGTAGAAGTCTTTAGAGATGCCTATCTGAGAGTGACTCTAGGGTGGTGGAGACCAGGACATATCTCCGACTTTAAGTTGAAAGACTGAATTATGTTAACTATAGAACAAGTATACAAAGACTAGCCCATAAACGTAAAATATTGTATATAAAAAATTAATTAATAATGTACGTGATGATGACATAATTAATGTCGAAATATTGAATCCCAACACGATGGCGTGTATTTCAATACTTGGAGTATGTATTATACTTTCTTATGTACGTGTAAGCATGGAGGAAGAAAATATGGTGTAAGTAACCTTCTTTATAAACGTTTATTTGTGATGACGTAGGACCTATTGTAGGCCTACTAAACTACGGCAATACGTGAGATAGGTAACATGGGAACGGGCATGGAAACCGCGACGCCAATATATTTTTAAGCGCCGCTCTCAAATATAAAGCGCCGCACTGAAACCACCAACAATATTATAAGTATGTTATATTGTTAAAACTAATATTATCATGTTATATTTGATTAATCCATTGTATTAGCACCTGGACACAAATTTCAAGTGTATCAAGTTGTGTTGTCGTAATTTTCCTTGGTTCCTTATTCCTTGATTTAAGACAGCATAATGCTTATACCAGTACCAGATAAGGTGATAGTAATAAGTTTTTAATGCTAATGGTAGTGGTCTACATCGCATAATACGTGGTCTAATGCGCTTTGAGAAAACAAAATAGGAGTATCTATTCCAGTAGGATAACTAGCTAAACATGCTGAAAAATGAAACAGACACATGCACAGACCAACCAACATTTTGGTAACGATCAATAATATTTTCATTACCATTTGTATTGTTATTATTTATTATAACCACGATTTTGTGTTAATAACAGTAATATCAATTATCTATATACAATGAATACATTGATGTGTGTATACCTGATTATGTCTATGCTATTTACAATTTGCTAAAACATTATAGGCCCTATTGCTAAAAGTTTTTCTTAATGTTTTTTTTTGTGTGTGTGTGATGTTTATTTTATTTATATTAATTGTAATTAATAATATTATTATGATTATTATTGTCATTATCTCTTTTATTTGATCTATCAATGTGTTTAGTTAACAACGATTTTCTCCCTTCTTAAGGCACGGAGGAGAAGAGCAAAATATAAAGGAATTTAAATTGGTAGCAGGGGGTAGCCCCCTGCTACCAGTGGCGTAACGCCCACTCTTGGGGGGGGGCATCCCCGGGCCCCACACTCTAAATATACCATCTCCATCTGCAAAGTATGGCAAAACCATTTGCTAAGTCAGAAAACAAAATCTTATTTTTCTCCTGCTCTTCTCTGACAATCTTAAAAAAAAAATATCGTAAAGCAAGGTATAAAAAAGTCTCACCTAATCACTCTTATCAAACCATGCAAAATGAAAACGCAACCTGATTTTTACTATTTATGATTTTTTTTTTTTTGCGGGGCTCTCGGAGGAATAAATTTATTATTATCACCTGCAGCAGATGGATTAGTTTCCCAGTGGGCTTAATATCGAGATGAAGCCCATCTAGAATTGAAGCCCCCCTTCTTTAGTTTGCAAAATTAGCTTCGAAAAGAAGCCCATCTCAAAAAGAAGCACATCGGCTTCTTTTCAGGATAGCATGGGTAGGCTTCTTTTCAGGATAGCATGGGTAGGCTTCTTTTCAGGATAGCATGGGTAGGCTTCTTTTCAGGATAGCATGGGTAGGCTTCTTTTCAGGATAGCATGGGTAGGCTTCTTTTCGAGAAAGTACAGTACACTGTACAGTACTTTCGAGAAAGTACAGTACACTGTGCATGAATTTCTGAAAACAAAATACAGATTGATGTTACATTGACCTTATTTATTGTTTAATTGTACAAATTCACAAAATTTACAGCATTCATTTTGAAAAGAAGCGCCCCCCCCCCACCTCTTTACTTTGCAAAAGTAGTCTCGAAAAGAAGCCCATCCAAAGTTCGCAAGAAAAAGAAGCCCAGGGCTTCAATTCGAGGTTTTACGGTAACTTATAATATATTTATAATGTATACTGTATACTTTTTTAAGACGTACATTCATTTTAAATTCTTCCTTATTCCTTATTGTTGGCAGGTGATTAGTATCTACATGGGCATCAACGTCAACTTAATGGATGCATGGTCGCCGTATAAAGCTGCTTATACTGCCCTAACCAACACTGTGGACACCAGCAATGTAAAGCTGGTTAGTACACAGTGCACTTATTTCTTACACAACATTGTTAAAAGCCAGATTGTTCTGATAGTGCTTAAATAGATATCACAGTAATATCCATAGGACTTCGCAGCCTTAAAAAGGCATGTGATGTTCTTAAGAAATTTTTAAAATATCACTATAAACTACGTAATGCCAGAGTCTTGGCCTTTCGCAAAAGTGGCTATTTTTTTTTCCTCAAAAGATTTGAGTTGCTTGATTAGAGCCCCACACTCTAAACATACCCTCTCAAGGGGTCCCAATTCTCCCGGAACTCGAGGGAGTCTCCCGGAAATCGGGACGAGCTTCCGCACTCCCGTAAGCAAGCAAGAATGTGTCGGAAATTATTTGCATTTGCACGTTTTCAATATGAATTGTCTCATGAAGTTAGGCGATGGGTATCACTATGTGTAGTAATAAAATTAGATGTGTTAACAAAAGTCATTAATCCGACTGCAGATCAGTCGAGGATTTAAATGGAGGGGGACAGTCGACCAGGGTCCCTATATTTTCCAAATTATAAAAAATGGGGGAAAAATTATATTTTAAAACTTATGTCTGAGAGTGTCATTTCCGGCCATCTAGAGGTAGGTGCCATAATCACAAATGTTCTTACCACAGCCACAACCATGGTGGGGCTGAGGTGCTAGGCCTACACTCATCTGTGAAAGTCCCTCCCTGGCCCCTCCCCTCTATTTCGAATTCCTGAATCAGCCACGATAGATCTCCCGGAAATGACTTCTTCCAAATTGGGATCCCTGCATCTCCCTATAAAGTGGAGTTATTAGAGAAAAAGTGTATAAAATCGTAAATTGAAAACACTGGAAGCATAATCTATTGAGCTAGTGTTCATGAACATGTAACGGTGTACGGTAAGAATGGCCCCGGAAAAAATGGCCCCGGAAAAATTGGCCCCGGAAATAATGGCCCCGGAAAAAATGGCCCCGGTAAAAATGGCCCCATATGACAGGTAGGTAAAAATGGCCCCAATAATCAAATTCTGAATTAAAACTGATTTTCTTGAGTCATATGCATTTTTTTATCTTAACTAATTTAGTTTTTAAAAGGAATCTCCCCAATAATCAAATTCTGTAACACACAATTGATCCACATGCTTTAAATACTGTTTATTTGCATTGTTTATAACATGTAAAGTTAATTCA